TCTAGCAGCAGTGCCTAGCAGAGTCAGCTCACAATAAATATTTGTTGAATGAATAGATGAATGACAAAGGAGAAGGAATAGCATTTCCCCTCTGCTCTCCCACTCCTCCATTCTGTACCATCATGTGATATATCATGACACATCAGCCTGGCTGATGCTGGACCAGGTATTATTCCTTATGGGGTGAAGCTTTGTCACTTCTTCTATCTCATAAAATACTCCATTAAAAAAATCTATGTTCCCTAAGGGCTTTTAGAAATGTACTGGAGGGTGGGAGCACACAGAGGGAGGCAGTCAGACTTCACATGCAGATAATTCATTTGCCTTGTAGCAAATATCCTGATAGACTATAAACTTGTGGTTTTGTCTACTTTTCTTCGTCTTAAAACTATAAAGGTAGCTCCCCTTTGGAAGGGGTGGATGCAGGGGTCAGAGCAGCTACCCTAAATCAGGACGCAGGAATGCTAACAGTTGGAAAAAGAGGTAGAATCAATTTTACCTGATTTTTAGTCTGAGAAGGCTGAGACAAGGGGCAAGAAGACATGGCCTGGAAAGTGCAGGAGCAGCGCACTGGGAAAGCCACCACTATGTGAAGCACCATGTGTCCAGAAGCTGTGCCACCCTTAGCAGCTATCCATCCCATCACGTGAGCAGAGCCATTCATTTAACAAATACTGTTGTAACCATTTAGGATACATCCATGAAGAAAATAGGGAATTTATATTTCGCTGTCATCTTTTCTGTGCACAGAAACCTCACTTCTCACTCTCCAGGTCTCACCAATGTGGGAACATGACCCTACAGGCAAAAGTCCTCCAATAACTTTTCATTTGTCCACCTCTGGGGGTCAACCCTTGATATGTCCCATGCAATTATAATCCCTAAAGGGGCCACCTCTAGTCTCCTAGCAGAGTAGGGAAGGGAGGGTGCCCATGGGGTCTACTAGGGCTCTCCCAGGTCGAGATGGAGTGTGGACACTCCTGTTACACGTTCTTTCATTCTTATCAAACAATTCAAAATAAAATACCATTTATTTCAGTAGAGTCCTCCATTGCCTCCTCTCTTCCCGATCACAGGCTGAACGTCAAATATTTACTCAGTCTTTTCTCTTGTTGCCCATGTTAACCACATTTAATCAAAATTCCAAAACATTCTTCCAGTGTACTTACGGCTAGTTAATGATTGCCTTATGACAAAAGAGCTGACAGAACGGCCCTTCTCAGAAACCTCTCTGACTGACTCCTCCACTGAAAATCCAGCTGTTCTGTGGACCCACCTCATGGCCAACCTTTTGTCTGGTTTGTGTTCAAAAGACCCAAGACCCTCTTCTGAACACATTGGTGTCCGGGGTCCACTAAACTTCTCAGTGCTCCCTCCCCTTGCCCGAAAATTCTGGGCTCTTCCTCAGAATGTTATGGTTTCCTGACCTAATGCTAATAGTATTCTTCCCTGAGAAGCTGAACTGTCCTCTCAACAAACATTATTATAGATAATATGTCTAGTATTTTTTGTCCAGGAGACATTTAGAAGGGGGTTTCAGTGTGGAGACCTTTTGTACTTTGGGGGAATTTCTTTCTGTATAACAGGTTTTTGTTTTAAACATTAACTAGGCAATCTGCCAGCCTTGGGCTTTGGGGGCAGGGTTAAGCTGGGAGAACAGATGGGAGTGCTGGAAACCATCACTTTTTGCACTCATCATTCTCCTGCCACCATTGTGAAGACAACCCTCTCATTTCTTCTTCAAATGATTCCCAAGAGACCTGAGGATCTATCTCAACTAGTCCACCATAGGGCTTAGAGAGGAGGTTCCAGGTTTTGCTTTGGAAAAAGTCAAAAAGAAAAAAGGTCTGCTTCACCCAGAATTATTGTAAAAATGGTGCTTCCCAGTCCTAGTCTTTTGCGGAGCAGGGAGGGCCCCGGCGGGTAATTCAAGAGGCAGCTGATAGAGGGGAAAGAGAAGGGTTTCACCAGTTGCTGCTCAAAAAGCACTAAAGTTTTTATATGTAACCTGAGTTTCCACCAGACCCCCTCGTACTCCGGAATGTGGCGGCAAATGGGTGTCATTAACCCAAATGTCACGGCACTTGCTCTTACCTATATGCTCAGCAAGACTTTAGCTTCCTACAATTCTCCCCAAATACATCAAAATCTCTGAGCCTCCTCAAAGAGGCTTTTATTTATTCACAAATAAGTGTACCAGTTACCAAAGACCTCTGCTAAGAACCACTAACACTTCCTTGAGTACCGCACACCAAACAGTGGATGCCATACTACTATGCGCCCAACACAATCAAACACCTCCTCTGATGGGACCATTTTCCAAATTTAATTTTTATCTCTTTTACATATTTGAAGTATTAATAAAATACTTACACACATAGAAATACGGCTTATTTATGCTTGTGTGATGTCTTCCAGATGGAATTAATGATACGTGAAACTGTCACTCCATTACTTGAAGAAAAAGCATAATTCAGAACAAGGGAATCCAACCTGATGTTAGAATAAAGTAGATTTTTCATTGTGATTGAAAAATGTAAAAGACAGTCACCTGGACTCTCCCTCTAGTCGAGATCTCTATTTGCCTGCTTTTGTGCCCTTAGATATTTTCTACTGGAGTGCACACAATTCACCATTTATGTGCAAGTACATTGATTTCCATAGAATCTGTGACACTCAAATTTCATGGGCTCCAAGGATGATAAATACTTTCTTCACTTAGCTCTGTGCCATAATAGTGTAAACCTCTCACTTGAAGGAAGTCAGCCCTCAGACTATGAAAACAGCCACATGGTTCCTCAACCCTTCTCTGCCCCTACCCCCAACCCCAAGCAAACGCTCCTCAGTTGGTTAGGCCGGAGGTCCGAAAACTGGACAAAACAAACACCTTCTCACAGGTACATGAACAGAGAAAGTTCTAGGAGAACACTTGCCAGATCCTTGGTTCTCGTATATATTCTCCGCTAAAACTTCTCTCTTCTTACTACCTCAATCCCGTTTTCCTTTTCTACTTCTCTTTTCACAGCCCTACTTCTTGCACTATACAAAAAGACATATGCTTTTAATTCCTCATGATTCTTCCTAGGGTGCATTCTCCAGAGGTGTAAAAACACAAGATTACACAAGATTGTAAGCATCACCAGGGTCCATCTTAGAGGCTACCTGCGTATCCTCTGGGAATTGGAAGTGCTAAGCCAAGGAATATGGTTAGCAAATTTTAATAGCATTCTCCTAGTAGGTTTCATTGAAGTAACAATAGAACAAAGACATATGAATATTTGTGGAAAACATTTCAGGCAGAGGAAACACTGAGTATGAAGCCCCCCAAGGGGGAGTACCCTTCCTATGTAAAGCAAGCATTCAAGGCCCATCAGCTTGGTGAGGGGAGTGAGCAAAGGGGAAGGGTAGTGAGGGATGAGATCAGGGTATCACGGGTGAGAGGTGTGGTGGATGTCATGTAGGATCTTGTGGGCCATTGTAAAGATAATGACTTTTATTCTGGGTGAAAGGGTACCATTGCAGTGTGGAAGGTTGACATAATCTGATTTATGCTTTTAAATGATTACTTGGGCTGCTGTGTTGAGAATAAGCTGGGGGAGGGCACAGGCAGAAGCAAAGAGACCACTTAGGAGGTGATTGAAGTAATTCAGACGAAAGAAGACCGTGTCTCAGAACAGGGGAGGGATAGTGGAGGTGGCGAGAAATAACCTGACTCTCGATATATTTTGAAGGCCAGCCTACAGAACTTCCTGATAACTTGGATATGAGATAAAAATGAAGACAGGAGTCAAGGATGACTCCAAGGATGGATTTTGGCCTGAACAACTGGAAGGATGGAGTTGCCATCGAGAGAGAGGGAAAGACTGAAGATAAAGGGAGTTTAAAATTGAAGATTAGGAGTTGAGTGCTCAAGATCTCAAGTTTGAGATGTCTATTGGAAACGTAGAGGAAGATATTCAGCAGGCAGGTGAATATGTGGTTCAGGAATTCAGGAAACAGCATTCCTGCAATTAAACTGATGCTGTGTTCAGATATCCTGGAAAATCACCAAAAAGTCATTGAGCAGATTGTGACAAAAATTGCAGTAAACAAAATATTTGCCTTACAGTTTGATGAATCTAGGGATATTTCCAACCATTCCCAATTAATAATTTATATCCCCCATTACAGCACAGGAAACAGCATTATTGTTAAAAATTATAGCATTCAAAGACTTTTCTAGGTTTGTAACTGGGGAAGTGATTTTCAAATTTTCCTACTTTTATTTGTGTTGACTGGGCTTTCTTTGGGGAGAGTGAATAGAAAAGTCTGTCTGTGGAGCTACCACAATGGCCAGGCATGAAAGGGGCTTCTTTCGTCAGATCCATGCTTTAAACCTTAATGAAACTTGTTTTATTCATGAACAAGCTTGAGTTGCCAAAATGTTGAGCCTGAATTTACACAGAACGTTGGATGTTTCCTTTAGGTTGGCAAATGCTACAAAGTTAGGGACACTGAATTCCATCTTTTTTGAGATGTTTGAGATAATACCCATTTATTGTTGCATTCAGAAATAAAATGAGTTTCCCAAAAAGGTGTATTAACATGTTTAATAAAGACAGATAGGTGGCATTGAATAAGTTTATTTAAGTTTATTCTGGCTGATTGGTTTGACTATAAAGACTGACTTTGCCAATCAGGTTATACTGGCAAATACTCCTAAAAATTGAATGAACTAAATCTATGGCTGCAAAATTTTTTTGGAGGGGGGAGGGATTACCCCTGAGCTAAGATCTAATCTTCCTCTTTTTGCTGAGGAAAATTGGCCCTGAGCTAACAAGTGCTCATCTTCTTCTATTTTAGATGTGGGACATCTGCCAAAGCATGGCTTGACAAGTGGTGTCTGTGTCCACGCCTGGGATTTGAACCAGGGAACCCCAGGCCAGCAAAGCAGAACACACGAACTTAACTGTTACACCACCATGCTGGCCCCCATGGCTCCAAATTTTTGATGAATATATATTTAAAGTACATGATGAGATTTTCAAAGTGTTTTTCAAAAATATCATATTGACAAGCATGCATTGAAATTAATAATATTTAGGTTTTTCTAACACTTTGATTGCATTATAGTAAACAAGATAGCTCCACGTGGAAGAGTAACTGCTACAATTAACAGTCATTTAATGAGTCATGGTACTACCTTCTTGGTTTTCTCCCCAGAAATTAAAAACATAACTATGTCAGGGTCTGTGAGGGATCTGGGATTTTATCCTACTTAAAAGCTAATAAACTAGTCTGTTAAGGTTTCATGGATGGTGGAAAAGACATGAAACTTGTGGGTCAGAGACTATGGCCTTTATTACTCTTGGCACAGCAAGAAGCCTGGCATGATGATTGTTCGAATTGGTTTCCTATGTCATTCAAGTCCCATGGGGGCAACACAAGAAGATGGATGGACTTAGATGCATGCTGTCTACACTGTGGATTTGTATCACACTGAGCTTGGGGGATTCAACACTTTTATAGCAAGCAGAAGCAAGCTTGCTCTTTGACTGGGTAGAAATGCTACCTCATCTCAAGGTAGCTCACTGCCCTGAGAAATGGCCCAGATAAAAAGCAGCCAGAGCCTTGTCTTCTTGGCATAGTCAGCAAGGATATGCAGGGAAACTCAGGGTCCATGGCAGATTGCCTCTCCCAATAAAATGCTCTCAGAACTGGGTGACAAATTCTTCTGCAAGTCATGTAGTTCCACTTCTTAGCTGTCAACAAAATTGAAGGAGAACCTCATCAAGATGCAAGTGACAGATCATGAATAATAATTTTGATAAGAAAATACTATTACAATTTCTGCCATAAAATTCACCTGTTGATCAAAGAATTTTGAGAAATTGCCATCATAAAATTCCTTCCATTTCCACCTTCTTATTTGTGCAAACAAGTGCTCTCAGCATTCATATCTGTGGAAAATGGAAAAGAACAGGAGTCAGTGTCAAACTTCCACTCTAACAATAAGTAACATCCGTCCAGGGATATACGAACTCATGGAAAAATTGTAAAAGCCCTTTCAATTTCATAACAGATATATTACCAATAGACATTAATTTTTATGTTTAGTAATTATCATTTGCAACATATTTATGCCACTTTAAGTAACTGTGTACTAGTAATAATCATAACGATAATTCAATCCAAAAGAAAAATTTTAATACTTAGCTCTGTAGTCACAGGAAATTAAAACAATTTTTATTTTGACTTTTAATTAGAAAATTTTCATCTTAAATTTAATTTCAATCTTTGCATATACATTTGTTGTAGCAAAATCTGATACAGTAATTAATAAAATACTTTCAAACATAATACACTCATTAGGATAAAACTTGTTATGGGAAATAAAACAGAGTAACAGGTTCCAGGGGAAAAAAAAACATTACAAAATTCCAACTGTTTAGAAGAGTTTGTTTTAATATTCCTTCAACGAAAGATGATGAGTGTCAAATTGCTGTGGATTAGGTTTCACTGGATACAGTTAAAAGAATGACATAATATTTGAACTTAAAATGTCAAACTTATACCAGAAATTGTGTCTCAAGTAATTACAGTTTAAAAAGCCAAATATAAATTTAAAAATGTGTTAGAGAATATGTCCTTTTTCACAATTATTTTAAGTGGTGCACAGACAAAAAAGATGTAAGCTACATTTTTTAAAATAATAATCTAAATGCAGAAAACCATGACAGAATATGAAAGACAAAGAAGACAACCCCTGCCGTTAAGGACTTTAGCATCCATTGGGGGTAAACAGTAGTTTTGTGAGTATTAAATGAGAAAATGTGTAAAAGCATGGAGCTGTCCCGGGCCAGGGACCCGATAAAACTTAGTTTCCCTTATATTTAACTAAGTTTTTTCTTTTTTTTCTGCTTTGAAATCAAATGTCCTCTTGTTAGAGAACACGGGGCAAAAGTCACATGACTAGTAATTAACTTTCATTGAATATTTTTTCATCAGCTGAAGAGAGTTAAATCAGCTTTCTAGTTTCTTTTAAAATCTGGACATGCCTCAAATATTAATTTTAAAAGAATGCGTAAAGGAGGGAGGAGAGGGAGGAGAGAGAGGGAAAGAAAAAAGAAGAAAGAAGGAAGGGAGAGAGGAAGGAAGGAAGGAAAGAAGAAAGGAAGAAAGGAAGGGAGGAAGGAAGGAAAAAATGAAGGAAGGCATGAAAGCTTTTAAACGCTACATGCACTGTCTTTCCAAACCAAGCAACTGTGATAACTTTTGTGTTGATTGAAGCACACATTTAACCAAATGAATTTTCCGTTGTTCCCACCTGTTTCCCAAATAGTTCAACTGTTCTGCCTTTGACCTGGTTTGGCTCCATCCTACATGGAATGTCTGCTCTTGGAATCCCCCACCCCTGGGCTCCTCCACCACAGAGTTGGCCATAGCAGCAGCTGGGAAAACCTCCTGGGGAACAGCTGGTGTCCAAGGCCCCACATTTCTGCCATGACCCAGGGCGAAGGGTAGTTTTCTGCAACAACAGTATTTGGGGACACATTTCATTAAAATAACACTTCACAGTTAGGTAGTACTATTCCATTGGCAGATAACTGTCACAATCACCATCTCCTTTGGTCTCACTAGGTCTTCAGAACAAACCTGGCAGACTCTGTAACTTTCTGAGTCAGGAGCCAGAGGTCTGGGCCTGGGGTCTGACTCCAGCTCTGACGCTGATCTCTTGAATGACGTTAAGGGGAAAATCAATGTAACTCTCAGAACTCCATGTCCTTACTACCAAATGAGAAGACTGGATGAGATGATCTCCCCTTAAAATGAACATTTATGGACAAAAGCCCAAAGCAACCTTCCCCAATCAACTCTATGCCCCACTGAATGAAATTCAAACTGATCGCTTACCTCAATGGCACTGCTCAGTCTCCCCACTCAGATACAACCAAAGCAAACCAAGAACCACCTTGGGATACCTCATAGCAAACATGCGACCTCACTGAATCCTCCCAACACACCTAATAAGGAAGGTAGCTCAGCTATTGTTACCTCTAGTTTTTAGATGAGGAAATTGAGATGAGAATCAGTGATTTGTAGAAATTATGCAGTAGGTAGCAAAATCCTACCTTGCAGTTCTGGGGAAACCAAACCATCTTTGAAATGCAACAGTTAAGACAACTTTATTGCTAACACTACCTTCGTGAGCATCCAGCTCCACAACGCTGACAACTGCCAACCATTTGGTTGAAAACAGGATCATCAACAGGGGCACATGAAACTTTATCTGATCTCTGATCCATACATACAAACCAGTTCATGGGGCCATGGATGCCTCGATGTCAAACTTGACTTTTGAGCATATTTTCAATTTGCTAATTCCTTCAGGGAAGCGATGGCATCTAAATTGAAACCTTCACCTCCAAGTCGTTCTGCCCTGTGTGTGCCCTGCACATCCTTGTTGATTTGTTTCTCCTGTATCAGGGTGGGTCTCTCCTTGACAACTGGGGGCCACATTTAGCCAAGCAGCTGCCCATTGGCGTCTAAAGCCTGCAATATGTAGTTCTGGCAGCATCTCAAAGGATTTATTATTATCATCCTATGATTTCATTATTATTATTATCACCCTTATGAAATTCGGTAGCTGAGCCCACTATAAAGCATTAAGCCCATGTTTTACATGGAACAGAGTTCTCTGCATTCCCCACACAGTTGAGGGATTTTCCCCCAGTTTCTGCTCACTGTTGGAAGGCTCTAAGAGGTGGCCTGCAGCCATGGATAAGTCAGCCCGTGTATTCCCTCCAGCCTCACTGCCCTCTCCCAGTGTCACCTTGTTGGGGAGAAGGCTCTCCAAGGGGCTCTTTACCAAACAGGAGGCAATTAGAATGCAAGACAAGGAGCAAAGACCTAGCGATCAGGGGATCCAGTTCTGTAACCGAGAGCAAGTCTCTTTGCTAACCTGCGCCTTGGTTTCCTCATATACTAAATGAGGTAACCAAGCGAGATTATCTGGAAGATTAATCTTGAAGATAACCTTGCTCAGACTAGCTCTAATTTTACCCATTTTTTGGCTTCTGGAGATTTCCACAGGGAAGAGAATCTTGTGAGGAAAGACTCACGAAAAGATCCTCCGCACTCCTTACTTCCACTTCTACTTCATTGAACAACTTGCCTTGTTAAAAACCAACCTGGTTTACACAAGACTTTGGGGAAAACAAAAGTAACTCTTTATCAGGGAAATCAGAATTCCTCACCTAAAATGTGCTAAGTCAAAAAAAAAAAAAGAAAGGGAATTGATTAGGAGTCCTAAGACGTGGGTTTCATCCCAACTTTTTCAATAACTAGCCATGTGGCCCTCAGCAAGTCCCATCACTGCTCTGTACTTCTGATGGCTCATCTTCCAAATTTGAACACCAATACCTCTCTGGTTTACCTATGCCAAATAGCCTTTGAGGCTCGCGAGAAAACGTGGCTTAAAAATGTAAAGTGTAACCCTAGATACAGATAAGTCATTAAGTGAAGGTTACTTCTCTCTTTTGAACCTAGATAAATCTCAGAAGAACTAAAAGATTAATACAACATTAAAAAGATGCTTATCTTCCTATCAGTAGGGTGCCTGGTGGGTTTATATTTTGTTGTAGAGTTTTAGCAAACCTCTTTATACAATTTGATTTAACAAACATTTATTAGGAGCTTACTGTATACCTTACATCCTGCTGGAGACAAGGGAAGAAATCAAAATAAGTATGAATTTGACCTCCAGGTGTTTATAGTTCTATAAATTCAAGACTTACACACACACAAAATTGTAAAACAAATCTTAAAACAGTAACACGACATGTCCCAGAGTATACAGACCTATAACAAATGCTTAATCCAGCCAAGCTGGGATCTGAACCTTCAGCAAGGGGAAAGACTGGTGTTGACTAGAGTTTGAGGCAGGCTGTGTGAAGGAGACAGAACTGGAGACAGATTGTCATTGAGTGGGATGAGAACTTTCCTACGTTTATGACAGTAGACCTCCTACGTTAGAACAAATGCCAGAATTAGATAAGAAAAAGAATGTCCACATTTTGAGGATTGAAGAGAAATGTTTGTTTCTCAACACTCATTAGCAGCAGATTTCAGACTATGGTTTTCCAGCCGATAATTATCAAAGAATCCAAATTCGAATTCATTTAAGTTACAGAAATTATAACACTATAGCATCACTCTTTTTAACTTGTTACCTGTAAATGTGTGGTCTAAAAGAACTCTAAAAAAATCAAGATTTTCTACTATGAGTCTATTTTCTCAAAATGGCTGCTTCATGCCCAAGGCCTTCCCCAGGCTGACCCCTTCACAAAGCATTAGAGCCAGCCGCAGGTTAATTAGTATTTCCCGAACACACTCTGCACATCCCTGCTTCTATGCTTTTACTGAAATTGTTCCCCACTGTGGGAAAGCCCTTCCCTCACCTCTTCAGGTATGTAGGCCCTCCCTATCTTCAAGACCCAGCTGGCACCCAGCGTCCTCCATGAAGCTGTCACTACCCAGTCCACCACTTATCAATCTCTGCTTCTGGATGCCAACTGTACTTGTTTTCTGTAATATCAGTTTGCAATGACCATATTTTCCTGCCCCCCACCCCGCTGTGGATTCAAGTTCTGCCCCCAAAAGAACCTGTTGAAGTCTCTCAAGGCGGGGAACATAGACACTTCTTTGTATTTCCAGTGCTTGATCTCAGACACTGCGATTTGGCAGGCATTCACTAAATACGCATTATCGAACATCTAGTCAAGTCCCAAACTAGCCACATTTTCCATAACTCCACCACAACCACCCTCCCATATGAAAAATGGCCAAAATAAGTTAGAAACAAGCTAAAAGGGCTGTATCTGAGGTGGTATGTAACGGCCTAACCTAAAAGAAACCCAGGAGAAAGAGATGGGGATTCATTCACTTGAAAAACTTGATGTTCTTACTATCTAAAGTAATACATGCATCATTTCAGTATATTTCACAAACAGAAGCATTCATATAGATCTGCCCATCTGAAAAAGGATTTAGCAAAGGACATTTCTCCTTGCAATGGGACAGCTGAAGAGGTGTAATTTAACAGCTCTCAGAGGCCGTCACTGTGGTGATTGAGGTGGACAGAAGGCATGGACATGACCAAGGCCCTTAAAAGACACAAACAGGTGGGAGAGTGTGCTGGGGGTGGGCAGAGGGCTGCAGAGGACAAAAAGGAGGAGGCTCGCCTTCGGAGAGCAGAGACGGGAGAAGGCAGACAGCGAGACTGCCCGAGGAACGGGAGGAGAGGGGAGGACAGGAGATCCGAAGCTAAAAGCTCGGTCACATCTAGACAGGACACAATATGAGGTAAAGCTAGAATGAAGGACAGGATTAAAAGAAGGGAAGAGAAATGAGCGGACAGGGCACAGAGAGGGAGAAATGACAGACAATCAGGAAAGGGAACGTGCATAAAGGAAAGACAAAGATGATTTCTCCATGTGTGACCAGAAGGAGGGCGGTTAAAAAGAAAGAGAAAGGAGTAACAGGGAAAAGGGTCTTAAGACGGAGACAAAAGAAGCAAGCAGTGCACAAGTCCTAGTTAAATGCTTAGAAAATCACCAGGCTGTCGGGCTGAGCTGGAAGACGAGCCCTAGCCGTACCCAAGAGGGGACCATCAGAAAGACGGAGGCAGGCAATTTAAGTAGCTGGTTACTAGGTAAAAATGAAAAAAAAAATTGAAGAAGGAAAAGGTGAGAAGCAGAAGAGGGAAAACCCAAAGGACACACTGGCCCAGAAACCTTTTTAACTTTCTGTAAGAATCTTCAAGGCCCCAAACTAGGCCAAGATTCTGACTGACATTTCTGAGCTCACCAGCTGCTGTTTCCTTGAGAGAATTCTGACAGGAAGGCATAGAAACGCAAGCCAACACTGCCAGCGCCGAAAAAAAATAAATAAATAACAACCGTGCTCTGAGCACCTCAATGGGGCCGAAACCTGTCGGAGAAGGCACACAGCTGAGAAGGACCGCCTGCAACTTTTCCCCAGGTATGTACCGAGCTGCTCCCGCGGGCTTCTTTCTCCTCTAATTGTCCTCTGGGCGTTCCTGCCTGGCCCATCTGTCTTTCTTTCTTTGTGAATTTTTGGGAAGCCCTGCAGGCGATCTGCTTCTGTCATCTGGAGCCAGCACGGCAGCATCTATAGGGGCAGGTGAAGCTCCACGTTCTGCATCTCACACCGGCGGGGGAGGACTGCTAGAATCCAGATCCCTCAGGCAGAGCGAGGCGAGGGGAAATGAATGAGAGAGATCGCCCCTGCCCACGTTATTGGTGCATGGGAATGACTTGTCGGCTGGTACTGACAGCAGACTCGTTTCTGTGTGCTGGGGCTTAAAGCAAAGGCAGGCGGGGGGAGGAGGGTGGGCATGGAAGACAGAGGGATAAGGAAAGCTCAAAGGGGGAGATCACGCACAATCACCCTAGGGGCTGTTCAATTACCTAAAGAAGAGCTAAGATTTTAGGAGTGATGGATGAGAGTTTGACAGCGCATGACCTTGAACTTGCTGCTTGCCCTTTCAGTGCCTTGGTAAAATATTTTGAATGTATGTTGAAATTTTCTTCAAAGTAACTCAAAGGAATTTATTTCTGATAAGTAATTTATCTCCAATATCAATCGTTGAATGGGAGTAGGTTTTGGATGACCTCACAGATGTCCCCACTAAGACAATGTGAAGTGTTACCTCGTTTTCAAAAACTAAGAAACTCAGTCCCTCAGCAATGTGTTTCTTTGGAAAACTAGGACAAGTACCAGATTCTCCTATTTGTCCCCTGGACCTTAAGCAATTCTTAATGCTCACTCAACTTAACAGGCGCACTTAAAAAAAACTTAAGAAATTTTGGAGCTAAAGAGCTTTATCATCATTCTGTATTATTACGTTATATTACGTTGTATTATCATTATGATCTCTTCACGAATACAATATGAGGTCGTATGAGTCAGTGGACCCTCTGTTGGGCTGTCTTCTCAAGAAAAACATTCACCTCATTTTTTATCCATTCTTCTCCAAACTCCACTTAAGTTTTATTGGTAAGAACTGGGAGGTGAAGGGATGGGCCCAGTTATTTACAAGCCGTTAAGTGAGAACCCTTGGTAACTTCACAGACGGGCTTCCCCTCTCTTCGTAGTGTTGACCATCTGTCTGCACCCTCATTGGTGAAAGCTCCTACAACCACACTCTTGAAGAGGGGTCACACCTTCCTGACTTCTGTGTGGCTTTACTCTTCTTCTTCACCTTCTCATTTTTAGGAAGGTCAGAATGTAAGAGTCCCATTCCTTGCCCTGAACTGTTGAGTGTCAGAAACATTGCACTAGAACAGTGGTTCTCGAAGTGCAGTCCCCAGACCAACAGCATCAGCATCACCTGGGAAATTGTTAGAGATGCATATTCTCAGACCCAACTCAGACCTACTGACTCAGAAACTCTAGGGGTCAGAGATGGCAATCTGTGTGTTACCTGGCCCTCCAGGTGCCTCTGGTAGACTAAATTCAAAGGTTAAGATTTTTTATTTCCAGAATCCACAGAGCTCGGATCTCCTTACAGGTGCGACTCTGGTCACCTACAGGGCTATAGCTTCTAAAGGAGACCCTTCCACAAAGAACAACCTCTCCGTCACTGCCTGTGTCCTTCATCCATAAAATATGAATTATTATAATGTAAGTTACTTGTTACAGCACTGAGAACAGTGCCTGCACACAGTAAGTGCTCTCTAAGTGTGGTGGTGGTAGTTTTATCTGCTCCACCCTTACTGAGCAAAGGCCTTCACTGGGTGGTGTGGGAAATCAAAAATGAGGCAGTCAGGATGCCAGCCCATATGAGAGGAGATGCACGCGTTACAGGGACACAAGGAATCAGACCGCTAGGTGAGATGTGGTAAGTGCCCAAGTACATGTGCAATAACAGGAACTAGACAACTGGAAGAAAATTTTATGGAGAAAGTCTTTTGAGCTGAGCCTTAAAGAGGGAGTAATGGTGAAGATGGGCAAAGAGAAAAGAACATTCCAGGTGGAAGCTGAGCATAGAGAACATTGGAAAGATAAGATGTCAGTGGTCCAGTGTGGACAGTAGTACCCGCTCCCCTTTCTGTTGTTAATATGTTAAATATTCGTGTTGTGGAGAGGGATCCCCCGTTCTGGGTCTAAACATTTGTTACCATGTTTGAAGAAATTCTTCCTTTACTCCAAACTAAGTCATTTCCCTTAGACTGTTGTAAGATGAGTCCTTTCCAGTATTGATGATTTCATTACTTCAGTATCTGTGTCTCTCTTTCTTGTTTATCATTAGATCAATGTTTTTCAAAGTCCCACTTGCAACAGAACAAATCAGGAGTGGTTGCAAAAAGGCAGATTCCTGGGTCCCGGTCCAGATGGCTTATTTCAGCACCTTTAAGAGCAAATCAGAATAATCTGCATTTTAACAGCTCCCTTGTGATTCAGATGTTCACTCAAGTTCAAAAAGCAACTCTCCTAGAGCTGTTCTTTCTCAAATTTACTGAGCGTTGAAATCACCGTGGGCGTGCTTGTTAAAAATATGGACACCCAGCCCTTCTCCTGGAGATTCTGATTCCCTGGCTCTGGAGTGGGGTGTAAGAATGGGAGTTTTAAAAAGTGCCTCTGGAGCACCAAGGATCAGGCAAGGTTTGCGAAATACGGCATATCTGAATGAAGGTGTGTTTTGGGTTGGAGAGGTCAAGTCGTAGGCCAGCCATTTACTAGCTGTGTGATTTGGGTGAGTTTCTTAAGCACTCTATGCCTCCACAGTACTTAACCTGCTGGAGACCATTTCATCCTGTGTAGTAAGACATGCTCCACAGAATTGCTGGAAGCGACATGGTAAACAGCTTAGTATGATGTTGGCTCCCTCTCCACGCTTTGCCCCATCCTCCCCAGAAGTGCCTGCTCCAGCTCTCCAGCTCTGATGAGAGGCAGGGCAAGGACAACAGTGACGGCAAAATGCCACCAATACTCACCTCTTCTGAGAAAGGTGGCAGGATGCCTGCAGGGAGAGAAGATGGGCTTTCGAAGCTGGCCTTGTTCCTGGCTGCCCCTGGGAAGTTAAAATGGGACACATGCCCATGACTGAATCAATATTCAGAACTGGCCGGTCCTCTAAAAATAGCAAGACGTTCTGGCTGAGCCTTAGGAAAAAGAAGGTCCTACCCTAACGTACTACCCCATACTTGCCTTAAAAGGAGGGGTCTCTGCTTTATTTCCTACCTCCTCAGCCAGATGATGGTAAACCACAAATAATTTGGCTTGTAACTTGGTGAACTCCAGCATAACTTGTTTCATGGACAGCCACCAAGAACACCAGCAGTGATTCCAGTGTATAAGGTCACAAGTGCTCAGACTTTGGGGTGGCCGTATCTTTGCAGACGCTCCTCCTGCAGACGCTAGCGGAGTTCTAATCTCCATAAAAGCATGCAATTTTGATTATAGTTTAAGAAATTATTACCGATTGTTTAAAACTTCCCGGCCTAACTGTGGGGCAGAGAAAGGATAGGGAGCGCTAAGATGCCTAAATTCGAAATTCAGAGAATGAGACACCGGTGATTTTTCTTCTGCAGGAAGTCCTGATTTCCTCTCCTCATCCAGCATACACATGTCTAACCAAGGTCAGATCTGTTGTCAGAGGGCAAAGGCCTTGTGGTCAATAAGGGGACACTCAGGGCATCTCATCATCTATATTGTTTCATAAAAGTCCTGAAAATTTTGTCAGAAATGGTGCTGATGGATATCTTTTCTTAACAAATCCTTTTCAAACATAGCAAAATATGAAAATTTTTTTTTAAAAAAAGAGAAACCAAAATTGTGGGAGAAATATTTTTGATAATATTTAAGCTTTCCCAAGTATCTTAGAACCACCCCTTGCATAACAATTGTCATCTGAATGAAACTAGTCAATCAAATATAAAGACCTTCATGTGCTGAGTAGTTTCAGTTGCTGTATTTATATTAATTAATATTAAATAATAGTCATACGAATTACTTATTAGACATCTAACGCTGTGTTCACAGCATGTTACATAAATCTACCTCATTGAAGCCTCCTGTTGAGTCAGTATTATTATTCTCACTTTACAGATGAGGAAACTGAGGCTCAAGGAGCTTAAGTAGCTTGCTCAAGGTCATAGAGCCAGAATGCACAGATGCCCCGGCCATGCTCTTCCTCCCCACACCCCTCTGCCGCCAATAACCTTGAAGATTACATGGTGTTAGTCTATAATCCAGACTTCCCTCTGTCTCAACCCGCCCTTGATTTTTCCCAAATCTAAGAGGCTTTCTGAGGAGCATTAATGCGAAATCACCATCCTCACTTCTCTGTAATGTTGTGTCTGAGTCATTTATGTTCAAATACTCCCCTGCTCGGAGAGAGAAATAGGAAAAAGAACTGTGTCTGCTGTTTACATTTCTGATGATACTTTTACTGTTACTTAAGTTCCAAATGCTGTAAAATGGTACTTGATTCTCAAGAACAAGGGAAAGGACAATTAATTTAAGGCTTTCAAACAACTGTCTGATTACAGGGCAGAGGGAGGGAGAAATAAATCTTGCTTTCAATAACATGGTGAGTGACATTTTATATTGCCATCGGCCTGTTCTAAGAAACTCAAGACCCTCATGTGTGTTATGTCATTAATCTCCAACCTGCCCCATGATGGGCAGATGGGGTTACACAACCACTATTTGCAGATAAGTGGCATGGGATCTGGTGCAGAGAGGAGGGACAGAAAGGTGGGGACTTCGCCAATATCACATAGCACACAAGTGGCCAAGTGACACACCAAAACTCCCCATTCTTCCTATTAGCATCACCTGCCAAAGTCAGAAGATTTGGGCAGGTAAGAAACCAAACAAATAGTATGGAAAAGACCTACATGCGCCTGCCATATCAATGCCTTTTGCCCTGTGCAAAACTCAGAGAAACGTGCCTTTATATTCCATCCTAGGCTTCGTTTCCGCATTTATGCCTCGTCTGAAATGTTTTGATTTTGTTGTCATTGTTTGTTTTGTTTTTCCAGCCCAACTTTCACTCCATTTTCTAATCTGTTCCATCGATTTCCTTCCTTGCATCTTGTTATGACCAGGGAAACCAGGACGAGTGTTAAGACAAGACTTTTGTCATAGGTATTCCCATTTCGAACTTGACCTTTGGGTTCACAATTCTTTATGTGTTCTAAGTCAATAAGAATTTAGTTCCTCAGACTCAAGAATGATCAAGTAATTGGCTATTAAAAGTTTTTATTGTTGTTTTTTTTTCCTGAAGATTTTGAAGGCAAATTTTGACTTTTTGACCATATGAGGTTGAGCTTGACAAAGACAACAACTCACACCCAAATTGGGGACATTCTCACAAGTGGATGGTTAGCACTGTCTTGGTTATCTCACACCATTTCCCTGGAAATCTATTTCTTTTGTATTCTTACATAAATTGATCACCTTCTGGGCCTCAGCTGGCTCATGAATGGCAAGTCTATTAATGCTGGTTCTTTCTAGTTCTCTGGACCAAAGAACCCAGTGGTCTTTCTCATCTGTGCAAACTTTCACTTCTGAAACTCACATGCCAAACCCTTTGGAAGATCTTGATCTGACAGGTTTCACTAGTTATAAGGAAACTTGTCTCAGCTCCTAAGTTCCCTGATTCACTGGAAGAGATGAGACCTTTTAATCTTCTCAAAGGCACAGCCACAGCTTCTCCTTGGCCCCCCGCCTCTCCTGCCCATCAGCCGCTGCTTTTGATTGACCACTGTCCCCAAACCTGGGAGAGGAAGAGCAGCCCCATATTCTCACTCATATGAAGCTTGCACTTGACTATGGGAGAGAACCATGTTTTCGTAGCAGAAGCTCATATGGCCGCTGGATTGTATTATATGAGTTATTGGATGACTCCCAAGGTCAGCCAGAAACATTTTAAATGGGGTGCCTAGGACATTTACCTATTTTCCTGAGAAAAACTATGAATGCTAAGCCACCACCAGCACCAGCAAACCAAGTGCACAGCTGCAGAGGAATAAACGTGCACAAAGCATAAAGCCCATACTGTTTCCTCCCTCCCTTGCTTCCTTCTCAACTCCTACCCTGCAAGTCTATCTCCATGGGTTGGTCCAAGACTGTCCCTCCAACCCAATTAGTTTTTTTAAACGATTACCATTTATGTATATGTAAACCAGTTCGTTTCTATGACCCTCATCTGTAAAACCAGATAAAAATAATGGCGATTTCACAGAGTAGTGAGAATTTAAGGAGCTCGTCTAAGCAAAGCACCCCGAACAATCCCTGTCATAGAGAGGATGTTTAAAAAGAATTTGTTCTTATTTTTATGACTTTTATTAATAGATTTCATGAACTGCCCTTGTCAGTGCCTTCAGCCTCAAACCTTCTTTGGGGTGCAATTCTTCTCTTCGCACACTCCCTGTTTCCTGCCAGAGAATCAGATGCCATGAAGCTGAAACCCCCACCTTCCTCCAGCCAGGGTGGCCTGTGCAGACCCCGAGGGGCTCGGCAGCTGCCAGCGTCCCTCACTCTTTCACAGCTCGGGCCTAACAGATTGTGGGGCAGGTGATGGGCTAGGGGAGAAGAAGCCGAACAAAAAGATCCTTTCCACAATGAACAATTGGGCTTGGAATGCTGTGCCGGCAGCTGCGGCCCATCGACATGCGCCCACGACAGACAGACATACAGTAGGAAACAGGGGGGCCTGGGAGTTCTAAGCAGGAGTTGCTCTCTGTGCATGTGCAGAATAGTTCTCTTGGGTTCTCTCTCTCTTTTTTAACTTTTGCTTCATGGGATTCCGAACATTAAAAAAGCATCATATTGAAATATATAAGCAGCAGCTATTAAATTAATGAATACTAATCACAAAGATTATCGCTACACCCAAATAAGCCAGTGAAAGTTGTCTGCCATTTATTTGTGAACAAACAGTAAAGGAAGAAATTAGGTCCCAAAGAGTGCCACCAACCCTCACAATAGCTGTATTCCAGGATGGTCTGGAGGATGACAGGACGGATGAGATAAGTTCCCAGTGGTCCCTCCCTCTAAGCGTTGCCCACCTAGAGGAGGAGGAAGGATGCAAGTGGCCCACATCTGAGATGCTGGGCTGCATCTGGACGACAGAAGAAGCCAGGCTGGAGCCAAGACTGCTTCCCGAGGCCACATGCTTCTTTATATCCCCATACGGATTACTTTGCTATGGAATGTAAGGAAGTGTGTGGTTTCTGCAAGTGCCTCTTCGCCAGCCCCACGGTCGCCCCCCAGAGCACAGGTTTCACCTTCTTCCTCAACAGGGCTTTGCACCAGAAGCTGTCTCCCTCACCAATGAAGCGACGGCCTCTGAGTCCCGTCTGATGTCCTCTCCCACCCGCCCTTCCCTCCTTCTTGAGGTTTCACCGCTCAGCCCAAGAGTCAGGCACACTGGTTGTTGTCCTAGCTTCCCATGCCCACTAGGCAGAGAGAGGCCACATCATCTAAAGGTTTTCCCCGGAATCAGCCCTCGCCCTCCAAGCTCCTTCCTCCAGTCTTTTTGTTCCTGAAAGATGTTTCTACGAACCAGACTGAATTGTAATTCCTTCCACTCCATCTGTATCACTTTCCTTTATACTCATCTGTGTCAGTGGCAGTTTGCACATTTCCAAGGGCTTTCCTTGCAGATAGGCAGGTGCCGTGAGACTCAGGAGACTACAGCCTCAGGTCACACAGTCAGTCCTCTGACCCTGCTCTGCTCTCCTTTCCACTTCACATCGCAACCCTGTCACAAATCAGCGTGGGGTGAGGCTGTTTGCAGAAAAGCTTTGAGGTGCTAAAATGGTGATTCACTCATCTGATTGGCTAAGTTCCTTTCTCCTCCCTTCCCTGAACCACTGAGTTCCCACCCTGACCCTAAAGAGCCTGAAACCACACCACAAAGGAGTTGGACTTACGAAGGGAGGCCCTGAGCATGAGGAGAGACTGGTCACCCAAGGCTCAGGCCATCATCTACCTACCCCAGCATTTCAGAATGAGCCAGGAGGCTGATGGGATCTCCCTCCCTCACTTAAACCCCAGCTCCAGAATGGCTTCATGCGTTCCACAGCTCTGCTTCCTTGTTGTTAGGGTGACTATGTGTGAGATGAGGGCTGGGACCACACGAAATTGTTACTATGAGTTCTTAAGCAGAACCATGAAAGGATTTGACCTACATCTGCCAAGATGCACAGGAGAGGGCTATAAAAGTGAACTGAGAAGCAGCACA